CTGCATGTACCCTGGCAAGTCATTGCTTTCTGAAGACACAATTACCAACAGCCTGAGCTAATTTCTGCACTGCATTATCCTGGTTACAATGTGGGTTTGGGGATAACCTTCCAGAAAGTTGAGGGCAGTCAAATGGAGGAGTTGTGTCCTCTGAGCAAAGAAAAGAACTCGCCCAGCTTAGTTTGAAGAGCACAATCATTGCCTCAGTTTAGCAAGAGATGAGGCCTGAGGGTCTCCGAGGCCCTGCTGCTGATTTCTTGATTGAAGAGACTTTTTGTTGTTGGAGCAGGTCATTAAAGTATTTTCACCTCAAGTCACAAAATCCTAAGGAATGTCCCAGTCTTGAACATACACAGATAATTGAAGAGAGCTCTTCTTGGTCCGAATTTATTCAAGATGTTTGCAATGATAAAATCTTGATGCAAGTTTTTCCAGAAACTTGAACCAAAACTCTACCTTTAGAAATAGTTCTTAGTGATACTTTATTACACTTCAGTAAGCATATATCTTCATGTTGGTCACACAAAGTTTAACTAAGGAAGCTGAAGGCAGGTGGAATCCCAAAGCAGATGGTAACCCGAAACCTCCTATAGGATTTCCATAGACTGGCTTATTCATTGTGCACCTTGGCTCAGCAGAACCACTTTAGAATGAAACTGCAAGGTGACTCCCAGTGGGCAAATCAACCTCTTTTCTAAAGGTTGAGCACCTAAGAGAACTGATTCCTGATGAGAAATGCTAGACTAAAGAACTCTCCCATGTTGGCCTCACAAGCCAGATCCAATATCTTTAATCCCCGGGTGGAAAAGACACAGGGAGACATTCCAGGGTTTATGGCAGCACTTCCAGGGTGATACTGCTTAACAGTATCAGGGCCAAAAGGAACATTGGTAATCTCTCCAACTGGAGATCCTGAACAGGTTGTCTGGAGTGAGTAACCCATATCCTGAATTTGGCAGGAGCATCCTAAGTTTTAACCACCAACCTTGGTTGAGCGGCTTGGATTTCTCTCCATGTTAGAATTTCCCTTCGTCTTATATTTATTGTAAACAGCTGCATTAGGATTTTGTTCATTTTGAGGCCAAATTCCTGATAATTTTTAAACAGTGATTTCTTCCTGTGCATCTTACTATTACCTGCATCATCTTAGCTGCTGTTTGGACAGCATAAAGACAGATCTGTACTGGTCTTTTAAGCTGGAACATTCTCTCAAATACTGTTGGAGTTTCCACTTCTGTGACATGACCTTAAGATGTGTTTCCCAGGCTTTTTCCTCAGAAATCAATAAAAAAAATCTATCTAGAATACACACGCGCGCACACACACACACACACATATCTCTTTGCCTAAGCAACCATTATGACCAAACAACCAGAACAACTGGAACGACGAGTTGCTATGATGCACACTGACCATCAGGGGGCAAGATGCTCAAGGCAGGAGCTGCCCCGTGGTAGTCAGTGTGCTCCCACAGGGGGAGCGACCCTCAGCCAGAAGCCGGGCTCATGGCTGGCTAGCACAGCTGCAGCGGCAGGAGCCTCTCCTGACTCCGTGGCAGCACTACCGAACAGTGGCGGCAGCAGGTGCAGCGGGCTGGGATGAGCGCTAGCAGCATGGCGCCCAGCCTGGGCTTGGCTCTTCCCTGGCCGCCTGCCACTTGGCGCACTCTGCATCCCCCGAGAGGTCCCAGATTGCAAGAGGGCACAGACCAGGCTGAGGGACCCCCTCTCTCCTGCACGAATCTGTGCACTGGGCCTCTAGTATATATATAAAGGCCCAGCTGAGGTGGCTCAGAAGGTCACGGTTTGATTCCTGGTCAGGGCATATGCTGGGGTTGTGGGGCTCCATCCCCAGTAGGGGACCTGCAGGAGGCAGGCAATCAGATTCTCATCATTGATGTTTCTATCTCTCACTGTCCCTTCCTCTCTGAAATCAATAAAAATATATTTTAAAAAAAATGTTACCCAGGCTTTTCTGAAGGCAAAGGAAACTTGTTTGCATAGAAATGGCCTAACAAAGCCCACTGCTCAGTCTATAACCATGAACAGGATGCTACCCAGGTCACCCAAAGGGGCAAAGTAGAGAGCTATGGGTTGCTACTCTAGAAATTTGTGGGCTAGGGAGATTCTAAGTTTGAGAGGATTTGTAATATTAAGTGGGAAAAATACCAACTCAAACTATCATATTTTTTTTGGCTTAACCATTTTTATTGTTATTTAATTTTTGGAGTTGATAATATATTCATATGGTTCAAAACTAAAGAAGTTTAAAAAGAAAATTCAATTTTTAAAAGTCTCACTACCTATCTCTCTCTCTCTCTCTCCTCTCTCTCTCTCAGCTTCCTTTGAAGTATAAATGATACACAGGCCTCCCTTGTTGATAGTTCAGGCTTGGTTCCAGAGCACTGTCATAAGAGAATGTTACAATAAAGCAAGTCACACTAATTTATTGGTTTCCCAGTGCATATAAAAGTTATGTTTATAATGTAGTCCATTAAGTGTGCAGTAGCATTATATCTAAAATAAAACAAAATAATACACATACCTATACTTAAAAATGTTGCTAAAAGAAGGCTTCCCATCACCTGAGCCTTTAACGGGTTGCCTGTGGTGGAGCTCTTGCCTCCAGGATGAGGGCTGCTGAGTGATCAGGGTGGTTGCTGAAGGTTGGGTACCACATCTATTGACTCTTCCTTTCATGAGAGATTTCTCCTTATCAAGTGATGCTCATAGCGTGAGACCCACAGTAAAATTTTTTTTAAAATTGAAGTTAATTCTCTCTACTCTGCCATTGTTTTATCAACTACGTTTATGAACCCATACCCTGAGACTTCAAAGTCTGATCACCGTTTCTCAGTCACTTCTCCCCTAACACCTAGTACTCTGCCCCTACCTTTATTTCTCACCACCTGAGGACCCCTTAGTTCCTGTAGAAATTTTGCAGGCTTAGATTCTTATGTCATCTATACAACTGTAAAATAAATAACCCAACTTAAAGGATATTTTAAAAGATTATATTTTCCAAAGATTTTACTAAATCATTTATTTTTTAAACAAAAATATACATTAAATCTCAGATTTACAGAATGTAGAAATAATTTATCCAAAGCAGTTTTAAATTGTTAATATTGCACCCCGCAACATAAGTCTTTGACACATTTGCATTCTCAACCTTTCCCACAATTCACAAAATGGGAGAGAAATCTGAAACAGAATTACACAAGCTAACTTTTCTTTACAAACACACACAAAAAAACCACTTACAATTTTTAAAAAATTTACAAGATAAAGAGAAGTTGTAAACTTTCAGAAATTTGCTTCCATAAAGAGCCATACATTCTTTTATCATACCTAGAAAGTGAATGATGTACATGCTGAGATTTCCTCACAGGAATTCAATGGGACAGGTACTGTGAATGTTCACAGCCTAACAGACAGAATCATTGAAAACACTTCTGCATCTTCACGAAAATATGGAAACTGAAAAACAGAATGAGAAAAGCTTCTGGAAAAATAACTTTTGCCTCGCAGTCTTAGAAATGTAGCTACCAACAGCCCTTTTCTCTCAAGATCTAACAAGTGTAAAAGAATGAGGTCTCTGTTAAATACTTTACATATAGTAAAGTCTCTTATAAAATACTTTACATATAGGTAGGCACAAAGTTTGCTTTTCAAAAGAAAGCTTTGCAAAATATTTTGCAATTTATCACTGATATCCTCAGTTTTTTTAAACTTTTTTTTAAAAAGCCCATACATATTTAAATCCTTTCTTTTTTTTTTTTAAGAAAGTAGGGGACAAACTCATCCAGAACTACAGGAAGTGGCTAAAGTAATATGGAATAGTAAGAGTAAAGGTATGCAATGTGCTTTTTTAACCTCGTAGTAAACTAAAACAGACTAAAACCTTGTACTTACGAAATCTGAAGCAATTTTCTTTGATTGAATTATTAAACCAATTTGAGAACATGAAACCGTTAGCCCCTTGACAATTCTGAAAAAGCCTTGGACCACTGGGCTCCAGGTGGTGAACATTCATGAATCTTTTCTCACTACCATCATAAATGAAAGATCTTGGTTAAAAGGTGGTATATATATATCCCTCAGGGAAATTCTTGTTGAAGATCCCAGACTGAAATATCGAAGTCAAATTTTATGATGCAATACCATTGGAATTGAAATACAAGACCGTTTTCTAATTCTGTTCTAGATTGAGACTGGTTTACAAATTTCCCTTTGAATCCTAATGAACATAAACAGTTGAACAATAGGACTTTTAAAAAGGTATTCTTGGCTTTGCTATTGCTTAATAGTCCAACCCAAGTAGTTTGTCAACAAGATTAGGTCTTCGAAATCCTTGTGACAAGTTCAGTTTTTTAAAACTAGTCCTGAGAGTTTCATACAAAAACAAAAAGCAAGACATTTCCTCTGGGTGACTGTTTTGCTCCAGGCAGTTTGAGGCCGGTGCCTCAACTCTCCACAGTTCGCCGGTACTCTGCCGTCCCATCAGCGATGATTGCGTCCAGGGGCGCGCGCTTCTTGCGGATGCTGCGCCCCGTGGAGATGAGGTCCGCGTAGCCCCGCTGGTGGGAGAAGGCGTAGGCCGAGCGCCTGGAGGACATGCCACGACGGAACACGTATGGCCGCCGCTTCCACTGCTCTTCTGCTTTTAATCGTTTGCGATGCTTCTGAATCTGCAGAGGGAGAGAGATGGGTCAAGGCTAAACGGAACGGGCTGACGGAATGGAGATGAAGGCAGAAGTCTGGCCAACAGGACAGGGACAGGATCAAATGTTAATGGAGGACCTATAACAGGCTTTCCCACAACATGCTGAGGGGGCATCACCACCCTCACTTTATAGACGAGAAAATGGGGAGGAAGGGAGGGAGGGAGGAAAAGGGGGAGGGGGGAGGGGCTAGAGATAGAGAGAGAGAGAGATTAGAAGTGTTACGTGAGGATGTGAGGTTTAGATTTTGGAGCTAGAAGATGGGTAACCTAAGCTCCTAAGCTCATGCTCTTTCCAATACCTAAATCAGACTGATTCGGGTTCAGGAGGAAATTCTTTCCCTCGTTGCTACTGCACACACTTGTCAGTGGAAAAGGGAGATCCAGGGGTTATGCAGGTTGCCTACCTAGCACCTACTCTCTGATGGAAACTGAATTCATTCAGGTACCCTGTGCTCCATACAGCCGCATTCCTCCTGGGACCTGTGCACTCCCAGGGCTGGGACTGACTGATCTCCCTTGCTCGGTACAGGCCAGGAATGAGCATGTGGCTTAATTCTGGCCATTGAGACTGGAGGAAAGTGGGCCGGCCCTTCCAGGAAAAGTCTCCAGGCTCCTAAAGGGAAAATGATAGAGTAATTCCCGGGATATAGACATGTCAGGATGCAGCGATGCTGGAACTGCTGTAGATCCATCCTTTCACTTCAAGATGGAAACAGCAGAGGGGAGAAATTAAAAGAACCCCAGTACTTTTTGATGGCATTAAATTGCTCATCAACAGAGCCCAAAGCCTGCTAATTATTATGCAAGTTGTTCAGCCACATTATTGGTCAGCCACAGCTTTCTTGTATCTCAAAGGATCTAGCTACAAGGCGACATTTTTCTTTAAATGAAGAAAGAAACCCGAACCTATTTGCATGGCAGAATGTTAGTAATGTAATTGTTAAATTGAGAAGATAGATATATGGGGGTTCTATGCCATTTTTCCTTTCAGGTTTGATAATTTTTGTAACAAAAAGCGAGCAAACAAAAATGCCTACCCCAAAGGACTTATTTGCAAGATGGTGTTAAAGAAATAGTAGTCATAAAAAAATGTTCATACCAAACTTCCGAAAAGCTTAGACTTGTGTAGGAAAGCTGTTTTTAAGTAATGCTTTTTTCTTTTAATCCACACCCAATATTTTTCCCATTGATTTTTTTTTTTTTAGAGGGAGTGGAAGAGAGGGAGCAGAGGAGAGAGAGAAACATCAATGTGAGAGAGACACATCTCTTGGTTGCCTCCTGCTCGTGCCCCGACTAGGGCCTGAGATCTAACCTGCAACTGATGTATGTGCCCTTGACCTGGAATTGAACCCAAGACCCTTCTGTCTGCAGGCTGATGTTCTAACCACTTAGCAAACCAGCCAGGGTAGGAAATGCTGTTTTGATTTTTGTGAGGGGCACTGAGAGCTAGGACAAAGAGTATTTTTTTTATACCTTATCACTT